AATTCTATAATTTATAATTGTTTTTTATTTAATTTTATATAAAAAACTTGGAAAGATTGCAAGAAGAAGGACGACAGAGAGAAAAGGTATGTTAGAACGTTAGAAGTAAGAAAAGAATTTAATGATTTTCGTTGGATATGAACCCGACTAATCCGAGTCTGTCGCGACAGTCACGTGGTCCGCCAACCGGCGTGGTGGGGGACGGTCGAGTGGTGGGAAAAATCCCTCTACTTGTCTTCGCGGCGGACGTTTCGAGCGGCGTTTTCTCGACGGTTGACGCGCGCACGTAGCGGTTGAATCGGCACGCGCGCAAATCCGCGGAACGCAACGCGGGAATTCCCGACGGCGATGCGCCGACAATAATCCGTCGGGCCGCGATTAATTCCCGCGACCGAACGCGCGACGTTCCCGATCGTGGTGTAATTCCCGGTTCATCGGTGCCTCTGACGATCCTCCAAAACCGCCCGCTCGTCCGCTGTGACGTACAGTGCGAAGAGAGAGAGAAAGCCCTACGAAAGTTTCTCTCGTGAGTCTATGTAGCGTGTTAAGTTTCGCAGTGACTTTTGCAACGGTTTTTTTGTCATCGATATGATCTTAACGATTTTCTACAGCTACTTCTTCGAATAAATACGTATAAAAATCGTATGTATATAAATATAAATATTAAATAAATAAATAAATAAATAAAAATATATATATATGTATATATAAACGCTCACTTGCTATAACGATATCTCAAAAATTGCTTTTTTTTTAGTTGTTTGCAAAAGAATGGTGAGAGTTCAGATATATCTATATATATATTTTTATATTTATATTAAAATAAAAAATATCTGGTAAAATATGAAAAATGCATACATGTTTTATATCCATTGTATATATACATGTATAAAATATATCCGTATAAATATGTATGTATAAACGCATAAATTTTCGTATTTCGTCACACACTTTTGATTTCAGCATCAAGGTGTCATAATATTTCCGGTAAATATTTCAATGACTTTTTTTTGGATGGTGATGGAGTCAGATCTTTATTAGTGGACATTCAAGGCTGTAATTTTTTACTCTGTCTGAATTGATCGTCTAGTAGTCATAATAAAATTTGCACCAGTATTTGTCGAACAATTTTTATGATATACGTGAAATTGTATTACATTGCAACGCGCGGTTGTGTATGTTGCAATCGGGTATAAAATTGGTGAAAGTTTACCACACAGAAATGTTCAGCTACGGCTATAAAAATGGACAACGAATCTACGAAATGTATCGTGCAAGATTTGTAGGTGCATGTTAAAAGCGATACGCATAATACGAATTCGTTTCTTTCTTTTTCTATACGAAAACTTTTTACTTAATACTTATTTGCATGTACTCGCTCTGGAAATATCGCGTGAAAGGTTCATCTTCTTTAGATATCTATCTCTTTCTTTGAATAACCTTCTTTCTTTGAATAGCATTTCTTGGAATAGCCTTCCGAGTAATATACGTAATTCCGAGTCACTAAATGCTTTCAAGAGAATGCTATACGACTATTTGCTAAGAGCGAATTCATGAGTCCGTATACAATACATACACACGCGCGTACACAGGCACTAACACGTACACGTATGCTGGCTTACACATTGATACTGCATAATACATAAGAGCGTCGATTTTTTGTTTTTAAATTACTTTGTGTTATTTTTGTATTTTTGTAGTTTTATATTTTCATTGTATTTTAATTTCTGCGCTTGAGAGGATCCTATCCTGGAGCGCGTAATAAATAGCGATACTATCTATCTATCTATCTTTTGATTACATTTTGCGACATTTTTAAAGACATAGTGTCACTCGTAGAGAAGCTAGGTACTCATGAAACATGCCTACGTGTACACAGTGAAAGAACAACTAGAAGCGATGTAAACCGGCGCGGAAATCGATCGGTCCCTATCATCGACTTTAATGCCGGTTACGTGAGTAATATCGCCATTTTATCGGCGCTCATTTAGCGGAGACCATGAGCCCCCTTGGAATGATAACGCATCAGTTTGTGCAAAACGGGGCGCAGCGTATTAACGATAAAAACATTATTAGCATTTTGAATGGCGTATTTCAAAAATAAAAAAAAGAAATATTTTAAAGCTGTAATTTTTAGATGATGTTATATATTGTCTTATTTACTTCCATTTAGATCTGACAAATTTTAATGCAATTAATTCTTTTCAAAATTCTTGTATTAGATACGATAATCTTTATTTTAAACTTTACTCTATGTAATAATTTCTTCCTGTTCAATAAATATTTTAATAATTTTTATATTTGACGTTTTTTTCTCGTAGAAGAATTTTAGTAATCTTCTTAGAAATTGGAGTAATTTTATATATCTAATATTCTTTTCGTATTGATTATAACGTATATAATGCTTGTTTTTTACATTGTATAAAAAATATATCTAACCAGCTTATATTTAAATTTAACAAATTTAGATTTTTTATTTATTTTACTTTTTAGTGTGCGGTAAATCTCCACACATATTAATTTAAAGTAATCCGATATATTTAAAAATCTTGTTTTATTTTCTATTAAGAAAACTGCATAACTTATTTCTATATAGCTTTATGTTAAATAATATACGAAATTTCTGAAATAACCCAACTTAAAATTCTATAATACCTCTAAAATGTTTCAAGTACGACTAATGGGTTGCGCAGATTAAATTATAGGATATTTTTTACGTGCTAATTATTAAACTTGTAACGAACAAACGGCAGACTCTCACTGCGCGAATGGAGGAAACAGGCAACTTCTTATTACTACCATACGGCGTTTTTACCGTTATACATTACGCAACTTCTTCCTCGCACAGACGTGTGATATGCATGTACCTACTATTGCATCGTCACGCGTCGCACGAACGAATACGAAAGCGCGTTTCAGAAAAAGCCGAACGACTTCCGCACGGAGGAAGAACGTTTGCAAAATCATTACAGAAACGTATCGGAAAATGGCTGCTTCCTTTTTTTACGAGTATAGTTCTGTTGCGCTTACTTTGGCTTACACAGTATCGGATTAACCGACAAGAGTTATCGGGAAGGTCACTGCGTATCTATATAATGTATGCATTCTTCAGTCTCGCTACGACGCTTGACATAATTGTACGCGGATTATGTTACTTTGTGCAAAAGAATGCGCGTGCGCGCATTCCCAAAAAATAATATTCCTAATAATAAATGATTCGATGATGCTGACAAGAAGAGTTTACAACCGGTGACTAGCATACGAGTTTGACATACGGTTGAGTCATGCATACTTGAATACATATACTACATATCGCCTGTCCATAGATAGCCGCCAATGGCGTTTTATTCCTGGAAGCAACGCGAGAAACGTGCTTAATTTTTAATGCACCTCCTAATCCAAATCTACATTTTTACGTTATTTCAAAATTGAGCAACGGGGATGGCAGGCATTATAATTTATTTTCAGGTATACGAATAGAAGTATGCAAAATTAAATATTTATGTACTTTGAGGTCGCTATATGCGGTAGCGTATACCGCATCGCTTAACACATATAAACTAAGGTAAAGGTACCAATACCCGGACATGTACCTCATATCTGGACACCTTTATTATTCATAAGTATAACGCGAATTAAATGAAAGATAAAAGTATTTTTTCTTGCAGTTTGAAACTTCAGTTATAATATCCAAACGTTTATTTCCTTAAATTTATATTTTTTTAAAGGTATCCAGACACAGGTACGTGTCCAGATATTGGTACATTTACCTACTCTTAAGTGTCCTGATATTGGTACCTTTACTTCTTACGTACACGATTTATTCCTAAAACATTACGAGAAACATGATTAATTTTCAATACACCTAGCTGCTAAATCCAATTCCATAATTTTATGTTTGCAAATTCAAAATCTAGAGGGATAGTAGTCGTTAATTTATTTTCAAGTAAAAAAAAATAGAAGCGCGCACAAAATTATGCTCTTGGCGTCGCGATGCTACATGTATGCCGCGTCGCTTGATATTAACTACGTGCTACAGCTTACTTTTGAAGCAGCGCGAGAAACGTGCTTAATTTTTAATGCACCTTCTAATCCAATTACACAATTTTACATTTAAAACTATTTAAAGCTATTTCAAAACTGAGCAGGGGAGATGGTATAGCGCCGTTAATTTTGTTTTCAGGTATACAAATAAAAGTATGCGCGTAAAATCTTAATTTATATAAACTACACATCCTTGAAAATCTGTTAACACCATGGATTACGGTGTGATAGTTCAACTGTTAGCCGAGAATACAATTAAAGCACGGTTAAAGCGCAAGGTATATATTTGTGCCGCTATAGCGAAGCGGTTTTAGATTTACGAGCTAATGCTTGCGTTACGCGGCGCTTTGCGTTAACGGCAATGTACTTTGCGTTCGTTCCTTATCTGCATCGTATTGTTCATATCGTCAGTATAAGTACATCGTGCAAAGGAATGGGCGCATCAAACAGTTGGCGAAAAGCTACATCAAGCTTCTGCGTTTCTGAAGCAATTGAGACGCGTGATTACTTTTTCACACGCTATTGCACAACAATATGAAGGTTTCACGATGGACATCTGGTAATTTTCTACGCGTCTGTAGATCGATCAGACGCTGCTAATGACATGTTTTGCAAATGCAGTATGCAAATTTTTATGCGCAATATTTTATGTACGACGTAGGTAGAACGTGCGTACGTTACGTTTCGAAGTAAGAACTTACATGAATTATCTAATATTCAATTTTTCATAAAAAGTCATCTGTCTTTAATATTTAATTATATATTTGAATTATGAATTATCAATTCCACTCTTATCTCTCATTGTTCATATACCATTGTTTACATGGTTCAATAAGCTTCAGTAATTATTTCAATAATTATAAAAGTCTTGTAACATATAATTATATATATATGTATAGATATATATCATATATAAATTATTTTGAGTAAATATCTTTACACACACGCACGCATACGCATATATACAGGGTGTAACAGGACTTATGAGACAATCTTTAGGGGATGGTAGGTCTCACCAAAAGAATCAACGCAAGATCACCCGGACAATATTTCACACATAATCTTCCTTTAGTATTCCGTCTTTTGGAACTCAATTCAAAACGTTTTTTCTTCGTCAAAAAGCGGCCAGAATCTTGTGGGAAAATTTCACGAACTACTTAGCTATTAAATTTTAGAGATGCCAAAAGACAATTTTTCGATTCGCGATTCGAAGTATATACTTCGGCCACCCACTCACACGTCACGTCGCGCGTCGCCCCGACGACGACGCGACGTTGCGCTCGTCGATAATCACGGCGCCAGCCACGAGCAACGCCATACTTCTCACGTAGTAGACTACGACCAAGTTTTTGGGAATCTCGACGACGAGATCACTATAACGGGGGTGTAAGGAGAACACGGAGCGGTGAGTCAGCGGCAAATCGGTAACCGGCTTCGGGCTTTCCTCTCTCTTTCGCTACCTGTCTCTCCCTCTCTCTTTTCGCCCCATTCGCGAGCTCTCTCTTTTCGTCCCGTTTCTTTTTTCCTCTCTCGCACCGTATAATCCCGTTGTGGTTATTACTCCTCGCTCTCCGTCTCGTATTTCTCAACGCTCTGACACTTTCAAACGAACCGGCCGCCGCTGAGCCGCCGTCGAAGTGACTCTTCATTGCGCGCACAGTTCGCTCGGACGCGCAAAGTGCATCGCCGATTTCGTCCTCCACTCGTGTCCGCCACTTTCCGATTACAGAAAGAATTAGGAATTCTTCCTCCCCCTTCGACTTACACACAAGCAAAGAACATCTGTATACGTTGTAAGTACGGTGTATTTTGTGTCTTTTCTTCCACGCCGATTTTTCCCGCTTTCGTCGAGGCTTCGTCTTTACGTAATTTTTCTAAACTCCTCGGAGCTAATTACTGTCTGTTTTTCTTCTTTCTTCGCCGCTTTCAATTTGCATGCCGGTGCGCACCGGCCGTGGCCCTACCGTGTTTACCGAGACAATAATTATCGGTTCGGTAAACTTCACCGAGACAGAAATAAATCTGACGTAATGGCATGAATTAGGCAGGTTATGCAGTCCTATTTTAGCTAATATTGTTTTCCATATAGATTTCTATTGTATCTTCTCGATTTGGTATTTATTAATCGAATACATAATTAACATAATTTATCGAAATAGCTTGGTTTTGTATATTTCTACGATATATAAAGAATTTGATCAGTGATCTAAAAAGACCCTATAATACGCAAGCAAGATCTATGACGACTTACGTTCTTTATTAGCTTACGCCTAAGTACCGTTTCTGAAACCGGCTCCGACTCGCCGAGCCGGTCAGGATAGGTATATCAACCGTTCTCAGTTTCATTCATCAACATTCGCGGGTTATCTTGGCTTTCATCCGTTCATTTACCGCGCTCATTAGCGTCAATAATAATCAAAATTATTTACTTTAGTTCAGTTTATTTTAACTAAAAATTAAATCTTCTTCCACTCCGATTCTCATGAAGAAACACGAACCTTTTCAGCTTCATTTTCCAAGTCGAATGTCGGCCGCGGTCTCTAGAAAATTTCGCGTTGACGAAAATCTGATTTTTGTCCTGACCCGAGGTGATCGATTCGACCGTGCCTCGGCGGGCTGGTCGTTTGGAAAGTGCAAGGGATCGCGAATCGATCGATCGTTCGCTCGCTCGTTGCAAGGTCGTGTGAAACTTTCGCGAAATAATTATCCGAACCGGTCGAAAGAACGCTCGCATGACGCGCTTCATGCAAGGACGGCTCCCTGTGAATCATCCTTGGGGCAATGCGCCGGGCCATCTCGTTGTTAACGTGAGGAAAAAGCGAAACGCGAGAATGAAATCTTTTCGAATCCGAATGTTATCGCGTTTTTATTTATTTTACGCTATTCTCACCTGCGCCTATAGTTGCTCTTCATATTTATCCTCTAGTTAATGAATGAATCGTGCAAGTTAGTTGGATTATTTCGCGTTACCTCCCGGCATCGAGAAGCGCACGAAATCGCGAATTATCGCTTTTTGAGCGAGGAACGTTCGCGAGATAAAAATCGCGCGTTATTTATTCAATGGGAGCGGCTCTTAGCTACATAGGCCACTTCGCGAATCAGCCATCGGACGTTACACACGTTCTCTTTGTTGCCCGATGTGTAGTCGAGCGACGCGCCACGTATGATTCAGAGCGCGTCGCGCTTTTGCCAGGCGGACAGCACTGGCAAAGTTTCTCCTCGCGTGTCGCGCGCTTGTACGCGCGTTTGTTGTCTGTGTCTTGTTAATAATAAAAAATAAACGATAAAACCGTACACGGTTAAAGGTTAGAGGATGAAATTTAAACCAATACCCATGAGTTAGATTTATTTTTTTATTTTTAACTACCATATGCGTCAAAATTTATTAGTTTGAAACAAAATAAGATTATTTTAACTCCATTGGTTTAGTCAAATTAACATTGTTTTAGTTAAATTAACTACATATTGAGTAGGAGCAGTGGCGACCTATGGAATAGTTAAAAATTACTCAAAATTGAGTTTAATTTAATCCTATATGAATTTAACAGTGTACCGTCCCGGTGAGATGTCACAAAAATTCGGCAATTATTGGGTCTGTTTTCTATTGTTGAACTGGCTGCATTGGTTCAGGGTTTATCTTCTTTACTTAACATTGGAAGGAAAAAGATAAACTCTAAACCAGTGCAGCCATTTCAGGGGGCCTATTTTATAACTCGTTATGCAGTATCGTTATCGTTATCGTTATGTTGTCGTTGCGCAGCTTTCTTACCATACAGTAAACGTAAACCTACGCAACGACAACGTAACGATAACGATACTGCATATAACGAGTTACAGAATAGACCCCCAGCAATAAAGAAAACAGTTCCAATGAATCGGAAATAAAAACTGATCAGCGATTCCGTGATAAGTGTTTCCGCGCGCGTATTTTCTCAAGAAAAAAATTTTTTTTGTCTTTTTGACAATCGACCTCGTTTCGCTTTGAATTTATTTTCCTATTTCAGGTGATCCTAAAGCCGTGATCCTAACCGGTTTTTTTCTTAGCACTAATCTTTTAATTGGTTTTATAGAAATACCAAAATTCTTGTCTAGAATTAAAGTACGCATCAAAATCTAGGTCATGGTGGTCGAATTTATATCAAAAACGAAAAAAAATTAATATTTTTTGTTATACGTGACGACCACCACATATAAATTCGACCACCATGACCTAGATTTTGATGCGTACTTTAATTCTAGACAAGAATTTTGCATTTCTATAAAGCCAATTAAAAGATTAGTGCTAAGAAAAAAACTGAAAAAAACCGCTTAGGATCACGGCTTTAGGATTACCTTAAGATTTCGATTAAATTAAATCCATTAAAATTAACATGAATATTAGCAAATTTATGTCGCAAGCGCAAGTCTATCATTTGTGAATTTTCGACATCAGATTTCTCATCAGAGATTTTGAACTGGAATACTGAATGCTTCGATTTTACAATATTTTCTCACTGTATGTTAAAGGGTATTTTTCCCCATTGATAAAGATAATTATTATTATTATTATTATATTAGAAATCGCTATTGAGGAAATGTCATCGAGCATTTTAAAACGTTGAAAATTTGTGCGACGAGAAAATATTTTATTTGTGTAATGTTTCAGATCGTTGACGCGTGTCTCCGGAAAGGGGAGCAAAATGGCTGAGTACTGCGAATATATGTGGTGCGATCCCGCTCGTGGTCACAGCAGTTTGGCGCGTAGCATTTACGAAGAGGGAGGCAGGTTCGATAAACGTGATAAGAAGTTGGCCATTAAGACTGTCAGGTCTATACTTCGACAAATGCCGAATGTAGGTAAGATAAAATTGCAAGCCTATGACTGCCAATTTATATTACAACTGTAATGTAAAAACGTTTAATTGTGAGCATGTAATTCTAACGTTTAAATAAATTTATCGGTTTGGCGTTAAAACTGCAGTTCTCGTGACAAGAATCTGACTTCGCAATCCTTCCTTCGAAGAAGTTACCCTTTTCTATTATTAAAACTTCCTCGCAAAGTGGATATTTTGTTTTATTAATAATTTAAATTATTAAATAATATTTAAATTAAGCATATTTAAATTATTAAATAATATTTAAATTAAGCATATTTAAATTATTAAATAAGGTAAATAAAGAACTACATGAAATAAAATAATTTTTATTTTATATTTAACTTTATATTTAAGATCATATTAAATCTAGTTTTAAGCGGTCGTGAAAGCTCAATTAGTCAATGAAACGATCGCGTAATTTCTCGAGATTGTACTTAAAAATGATCTTAAATACAAGATCTTAAATACGAGTACCGTTCTGGGCGGCTCACAGCAATGAAATGAACATCAAAAGACAAAGTATGAAAATCCAATTATTCTATTGTCCAGTTAACTGTAACTGAAGATATCTATAGCCAGTTCTATAAAAGTTGTTGTTTCATTTAATTGCAAAAACGCGTAAGACAGACACTGCCAACAATTAAAAAAGAATATTAGTATGCTCGGCGCATGTCGCATACGCACTTCCGGGAATTAATTCGTATTCGAATTACTTCCGATCGCGAGTAGCATCACAATGACGATCAATGACGGTTTCCGTCTGCTGTTCCTAGACCTGGAGCATTGCACGGATGAGTATATCACGCGCTTCCTGCTAGCCCGGAAGTACCGCACCGAGCAGGCAGCGGCCCTGATAGCCGCTTATCAAGCACAAATAACGCATCGCCAGGATATCTTCGGTAATCTCACCGCCCGAGACCCGGCGTTGCAACGCGCGCTTCGCGCAGGCATACCGGGTGTCCTGCCTGCACGTGACAGGTACGAACAATAAATGTCTTGCAGCCAAGCCAGGTTGTGTGACGGACGCACTGCTAATTTATTCTTATCCTTTCCGCCGCTATCGGCACGAGCCACGTACGTGCCGGAAAATGCGTGACTAACAAAGCTTCATTCTGCGCATAAATAACGACATATTTTTTTTACGAACGCAAGCATACTCTTGATCGGGCTATTTTATATTTAAATGCTTCTGCTAATCTAGTTTTTTAGGAAGGGAACGAAAATCTTATTTTTCTTAATTGTTTAATAACGTAGATAAAACAAAAGTTTATTTGTAATACTTATTAGTTAATTATCTTGTAATTTTATTGTTTTATCGCAAATCAATATATGTTTTTATTAATTTTATTATTTTACGTTTTATCGTGGAATCAATATAGGAAAGGCAGATGCGTGCTGGTTATTTTAGCGTCGCAATGGGATCCCATAGCCGTGCCCGCATTGTCCGTTCAACGAGCGATCTTCTTAGTTCTGGAAATACTTATTCAAGATCCTCGAAATCAGGTGCAACACTCGTCACATTTATTAGTAGATCGTTATATTTTTAAAGGAACGACTTTTTAAAGAATTTACTTTATTTGAAAGCCATGGAGGTGACTTCTCTATCCTGGCATAGAGCTCCAAACCATGTAATCATAAAAATATAAATTCTTCATTAAAATATAAGTTTAGTACTATAAAATATTATAATACAAAAATAGTAAAGACAATAGCGAGTAAGAAACAAGTTCAATATTATAAAATGCTATAATATAAAAATATAAGTTCGATGCTAATTTACGTCACTTGAATGCGTACATTTTTACATTAATATTTTCGAAGTTCAACGATAACTTTAACGAGGCCTTTTGAATTCAATCAACGGTAACTATACTGATTCATTCAGCTAAATCTAGACGACTGCAGTCTAGACTCGGCGTCCACTTCCACGCTGGCATTATTACACCCCGCCCGAACGCCTTAACGATGACCTACGCTCCTTTTTTTCCAGCAATCCGGTTTCGTCGCCGTGGTGGACTGGAGCGGATTCTCGTTACGGCAGGGCGGCGCACTGGGGGCAGCGGCTCTGCGAAACCTAATAGCTGCTCTACGTGGGCGATTTCCTGCCCGATTCAAGGCGATACACTTCCTCTCGGCGCCGCTCTACGTCCAAGCGACTCTGGCCCTGGTGAAGCCGTTTTTGGACGAGAAAACGCGGAATAAGGTGGGACATGCATAAGCGATGCATGAATAAAAATTTCTAAGATACGTTATATATAATTATAATCGTGCTTCGATGCACATGATGAAGGATAATTATAACTGTAAAATTTTATTGGCATTTATTGTAACAAAAATTTATTATATCCGCATGCAAGCGGATCAACTAGGCTCGGTTAATTTAGCTCCGATATGCTATCCAGTTTTTATCATACCTGGAAGAGATAATATATAGAATCGATTTCTGTCGCTTGTGTGCAACGCGATCTGCGAGAAAAACATAGAGTAAAGGGGAATGTCCCGGTAAATCGGTACCTTCGGGAATATGCATAAATGGCTACACATTATTGTTTAGCATAGACTCGTTACAGCTAAACCGCGTCAAGCACAAAAAACGTTATCGTTTCTCTCCTCGCAGATTTATCTACATGGCAACAATCTCAGCACGCTTCACGAACACCTGCCGACGGACATCCTGCCGGCGGAGCTCGGTGGAACGGGGCCAGCCTTCAACCCGGGATTGTGGGCCGAGCCGGTCATCCACTCGGCGATGAAGGAGGCCGAGCTCGCCGCCGCCAAAAAGGGAAAAGAGCGTCACATCGACGCGCAAGAACCGGCCAACCTTCGAGACGGATCGGAAACCGCAAACGGAAACCATCAGAGGAGCGATGGCCTGAACGTCTCGACGAACGCGGACAAAACATCCTTGAACAACTCCGATCACGATTTCGCGAAGCACTCCTCGACCGGGAGGGCGACGCAGATGGATGTAGAGCTAAATGTGATGAATAAGCGATCGAACAAACAGATGACGGGAGTTGCGACAAGAAACGGCGAGGACAGCGTTAAGGAACAATTACATGAACGAATCAGTAACGGAAACGTAGACGAGACGCGTCATCCCGAGGATGGAACGGATCAGTCCAGGGATACAAGTGACTTGGCATTCGTCGACGCGGACATCAACTTGAACGAGTTCGAGATCCTCAGCAGGTCATGCAGCAAGGACAACTCGTTAGACAATAGATTGGAAGGGAAGGCTCTCATCGCCACCAGTAACAATGAAACGCCGTCGGAAGAAACGAATCTCATAACGTAATGTCGATCTCTGTAGATCTAAGTACTTGTAATGCTTGCTAGAAGGATAGAAATCTGTCTCTTCCTATTGGATTTTTTTTTATAAGCGATGCGAATCTGTGGATAAACGGCTCGAATAGTCTCGGGATATCGTAATTTTATCGACAATAGCAGATTTCCTTGTAGACTATTTCCTAAGTGTAATTTAGTTCGGTGCTTTTTTGGTTGCGGATTTCTACTTTCTTGGAATGTATAAAACTAGAAAGTGAAATTTTTATATATTGATCCTAACACCATTAGAAATGAGTATTAAAAGCACACTGAAAAGTCCTCGAATATTTTTATCCTTAAACTGTACTTACAAAACGTGCAAAAATATTATTAAAGCTTACAAGAAAAAGCAAGACTGTTTTTGTTTTGCGATTCTAATATTATATATGTTTAGCTTAATTATGACAATTGTTGAAACTGGGTACCTGTTTTACAAATTACATATATGTATAGGCAGCTCTTCCTAAACCGATCTAATTAGTAACAAAGAGGCTGCAATAGAAAGATAAGGGCTGTTCGTAGTATTTCATGATCATTCTTTACATATTTTAATACAAGAATCAGGTATGTTTTAGAATTTCTAACGGTTGAGTGGTCAAGTGCTTTTTTAAATTATATATATATATAGTTATGAGAGTTGAAGAATGAATGAGCATGAGAGGTTTCATGAAACACATAAATGTCATATGTATTTACGGATAGTGCAGTCTTATCGAGATAGTGTTTTTTCATACCTAGTAGCAAAACAAATACATATTTTCGATACAATCTATATTTTTTTAAACGACGTACATAAACGCTTTAAATAGTATCTATGTACTAAATTACATTTTTCTGAGCTTACAAATTCGACTGTATTTTAAACATACTGAAATTTGTTCTTCCAATGACTATTTATTTCATTAATAAATTCTTTTTTGCTTATCTGAGTTTTATATATACATTATATTACATTATATATGTAGGGGAACGAGGGGTAGCCCCGGACATTATTGAAATTCAAGTATAGGATTAGTAAAAAATTAACCTACCGCGTATCTATAGCTATTGTTTAAACATTCTAATATGTCTTTCTGCGTATCTCGACATATGCAGAATGTTTAAACAATGTCCATAAATATATTTGGTATATTTGAAGACGGGGCTCCCTCCCGTTCCCCTAATAAATTATGTAACATGAAGATGGTAAAATTTGTAGAACTCTAACAATAAGACGTGATTTATTATGCAGTGCATCTAAATATACGATGATTTTAACGCGATATGATATAATATTATATATTTAAATTAAAGTTATACTTTAAACGCGACAACTTATAATTTGCATTTCTTTCATTTATGTTATACTACTTGTAAAAGTATTTATTTAAGCTATAAAATTGTCTTGGTTTATGGAAATATCCATATTAATAAAATAGTTTATTCAGCATGTCAGTAATGCTAAAAAAAAAGAACACTGGATATGAAGAGGATATAATTGTGATGAAATAATGTAATAAAAGTTTATTTCTCTCAGTAGATAAAATATATATGTATAAATTCTCAACATCAATACATGTCTTAAATAACATCGAATGTCTTATCACATATTACCAGAAACCCTCTGCTACCATCTGATTTCGCATACATCACGTATGAAAATAGAAAATTCTACACAGAAGTCAGAGGTATATAAATACTGCAATCCAATATACAAATGCTTCATCATTGAATATGTATGCATACATTTTGTATCTACATACATTTTCCCTGTCATATAGACATTTAATGTCCCATTTTTTAAATTAAATTTTCCGTTATCCTCATGTAAGAGCGCGCGTATGTACATGTGACGATATTCTTATTTTATGTTGAATTAGGTAATATCCTCAGTACGATTAGCCATATTAATATCGCAACATTAATCATTAATTATTTCAAGGAATCGTAATAAGCATTTGATCACAAAATTGACACACTCTCTCTTGTTTAGATGTTATAATACCAATGTTTCCTTGGAATTTCATAAATGCAAGAGTCGCAACATAATCGTACCATATAAACTCACTATACATCAGGAAACTTACGGAATATCAAATATTGTATAAGAAATTTCATATTAAATGCATGTCGAGCATACATATGTGTATACATGTATATATTATACATATATATACACAAATATATACATATTCATCATAAACATATATTGACTGCGTTCCGATATTGACCGCAAGTACTGAAAATCTATAGTTTACCTAACGTACACTATAGATTTTCAGTACTGACAGTGAATATCGGAACGCAGCCATTATCAAATACATATATATCACATACACATGTTTATTATGTACACACATATCATATACATACAATGTATTTTGTTTAAATATATATACCGTTAATTTTAAAAATAACGTTATTAAAAAATTTTCGAATAAAAATTATTTTGTTCAAGATATATATAATGACTTATCTGATGATCTATATTTCTATATAATAAATAAAAATTTTCAATTTTTTATGTTTCTATTCAAAAAATGAAACGAATTTTATTTTTTAAATAAAATAATATATATTTATTTTATAACAATTATGTAAGGTATTTTATAACAAATTTAGTAATGTGCAATAAAGTGTTATTTTTTTATCTTATTGTCATTTGTGTTTAAAACAAGTTAAAAAAAGTCAAAACTTTGTTTTCCAAAATAACTTTTATTCAAAAGTATTTTGTTATAACTCTATTCTTTAAAAAAATATTTAAGTATATACGCTTAAATCAAACACACCATACGTACGTATATATATATATATATATATATATATATAATATATAATGTATAATGTATATATATATATATATAATGTATGTAATATATGTAATATATATGTAATATATAATGTATATATATAATATGATATGTATGTATATGTATATTTATATTATATGTATGTGTTATATGTATATATGTTATATGTTATATTATATATACATTCATGTATAATTTGTACTTTACCTCGATAGTGTTTACATACAGGAAAATCTTTAATATAATGTAATACTTTGCAAGATAAGGATGGGAAGGTTCGGTAAGATGAGGCTTTACGTGTGTCACTCGTTCATAGAATTATTGTCTATGACAACAGTATTGACGTCAAGCTACGATTGCCGGTGGTACCCATCCTCCGAAACCTCGTTCCAATTCTTCCGCAATAGCGAAAGTCAAATGATCTTGATAAAGTCCTGCTACGACCTGCATGATTAAAATATATTATTTAAAATACAAATGAGACACTCCTTTAATTTTGCATAGAAATATCGTATACCAATACACACTTGTATTCCAATGGGAAGACCTTGTTTATTTAAACCTAATGGACAAGCCGTAGCCGGTAGGCCTAATACATTAATGATTGCAGTATAAGAAAAATTGAACGGTTTACACAACGGTTCATGGTGCATTGGAGCTGCAGTTGGATGTGTTGGATACAAGAACACACCGTCTTCTCCCAAAATATCCTTAAAAAATATGAGAAGTATAAAACATCGCATATGTTTCGGGTTTCCATATAACCAAAAATGTATACAATAACAGTGACATTCAAGGTATATTTTGATATAAAAAAAATTTACAACATAAAGAAGAGCAACGTAATGGTACCTTGAATTCCTGATAAAGATCTTTACTCTGTTGCATAAGTCGTACATGTTTTTCACTCCCATGTTTTATGCCGAATTTTTCGAACATGGCAGTGAAAAGAGCGATTAAAGTGTGATTGCTCATAAATAACATCCATTTAATGAATTCTAACCAAATATTAAGTTGACCTTCCCTATTGGTTAGCTCGTATGAAAAATCTTTCTCGTCCGTGCACGCCATGTTTGCCAACCAGAGGGCTGTGCTCTTTTTTAACATCTTTATATTTAATTTCGTGGCTTTAATTTTGTGCGCTTTCTCAAAATAATTTACCACTCTTTTCATAGCGGCTTTTATCTCTGGATCCACTGGCGAAATTAGGTATTGACCACCGTCGTCCTCCATATAATAGAGCTAAAGTCACATAGAAATATCGTTTCCTGGTTATCATATGACAAATTATTAATGATATTTCGCTGCAAAAGCATGCGTATATAAAGTAAGATTAGATTCAAGAAAAAATAATTAAGTATTTTTATGCCAATATTAAATCAATCTTGCCTTGATTTTCGAAATGTCCACTTTCTGATTTAATTTCAATAAGTCAGCATTTTTATCTGCGATAATTTTCAGAATTAACGTCAAATCTTGCGCGTATCTACACATTGGTCCAATGGCGAGTAATTGATCTTGGTCATAGCTTTGTGCACTAGGATATTGACCATCATTCGAGACAATTCCTGTAATAAAAATGTGATGTTTTTACGACACGTTAATAACAAAAAACATGCGAGTTATCCTCAATCTTTCTCACCCTTAGATGGCTTATGGCCAAAAATCCCATTGAAGAACGCCGGCATACGAATAGAGCCACCAATATCCGACCCAATTCCAAGCGGTGATCCAGCTGCTGCTTGTAAACAGCCTTCACCACCTGAAGAACCGCCTACAATATGTCTGAAAGTAGATAACGAAATAAGAAGTTCCTGTAGGGTTAAATCTTGTTACGATTTCTGTCGTATACTTGGAAGTTATAATATTAAGAAATTGCGTAACTGCTGCCTACATTGGCATATTTGTAATACACACTACCGTTCAAAAATTTGGAAGCACTACCTTCTTAAAAAAACAACAGTGATGCCAATACTTCTAAAGAAAAACGTCATATATGAGAAGTTTTACTGTGTGTTCTAACTATTGAACACAGTATTATTTGTGTCTAATCATTTTCCAAAGAAAAAATTCACTTAAAGAATTTTATCGGCACCGTTGTTGTTTTTCTTAAGAAGGTATTACTTTTGAACGTTAGTGTATATACCAAGTATTAAATAAAATTCAATAATTATAATTTACTATTATTCTTTATGATTTAGTTGTTTATTAAAATGAAATAAAATTAATTTGATTCTCTCAAGCATATTTTTCTTTCGATAAAGTTTCGATAAATAACTATTATACGTTTTCAATCAATATTATTATAATATTATGTAACTAATTATATTGCATGATGTTGATGATGACGTAAGGTGTCGTACCTTGTATTGTAGGGATTCTTGGTAATACCGAACAGACAATTACTGCTTTCCCACCACATTGCCAGTTCCGAAACGTTTGTCAACGCCAGAGGTATGGCTCCAGCTGATTTCATTAATTTTATCGCCTCTGCATCTTTATCAACGATAATGTTCTTACGTACAACTAGACCGGCCGTTTGCTGCATGTTTTCGACCGCGATACAGTCCTGCAATGCAATAAATACAAATAGTATCCTTATATTATAATTATGTTAATAGATGACAAAAGGCGGAAATCTAATCGTTGTCTGACCTATCACCTCTAATGGAATTAAGGAATGAATAAAATAAGAATCAAAAGTTACCTTGGTGGTAAAGGGTATGCCAAACAATGGTTTCTCTTTGGCCAGAAACTCTACGGACGGAGCGTCCTGAGATTTTAACAGTTCGTCGCATATTCTCGCTTCTTTGAGAGCCTTCTCAAAGCGTTCTGCGACTACACAGTTGAGTATTGGCTGGATCTCTTTTATTCTTTCTATATACGAAGTTACAACATCTTCCGAAGTTAACTGTAAATAATAAGCAGTTACGTGATCAACTTAGCCGACATAGGCGGAAGTGTATTGTCTAGGTAGTTAATAAGGCTTATCCTGTTCATTTTATTAACATATTTATAGCGACGAGATTCAGTTTTTTTATATACTTAAAAAAAAACGACTTAATGATATAAAAAAATACGTTTCTCGTATGCGAGCTGTTATGCTTTCTTATTTGTTATGTTAAAGATAAGCATTGCAATGTGTACTAATCATAGGATTAATTCACAAATAGAACTTAACTTTGTTATCAGATAATTCAAAACGATTGATTACAAAAAGCTTATCAAAAGCAAACTGTCAAGATTTATCAAACATTCGAACAAAGAGAGTACAAAGAGTAAAAAGTACCTACTTGTCTGTTTCGAATTTTTAACGCTAAAGTAGTCGCGCTGTACAGGAGAGTTAAATCCTTAATAGGTGGTTGAGATTTTGCCGGGCCTCTGATAAAGGCAACTAACAGTGATATTCCTCTCACAATTAGTTCTAGCATGCGATGAAACACGCCTAGGATCTGTCGAGTTTGCATTCTGCCTCGTGTGTGCTCTTCAACTGACATTCACCTGTCAAGGAAAAAAAAATACAAATTTGCAATCATAATTATTTCACCGTCCATTGTATATACGTAGCATACGTGTAAAAATGTATCATTTACTGACAAATATACAAACATCCTGCATTATATATTTCGATTAGTCGGCATGTCCAATTTTAATTTAAAACGTGTTTCAACTTTTAAAAATTGTTTTCTCGTCCACGAATTTGATTCCATGCGAATATACATAAAACTCATTGAATAGATCCCCTTCAAGTCTTCATCGATGAAATAACATTTCTATTAATATATAAACCAGTTATGACTTATTAAAATATATATTCAACGGCGTAAAGGGGCCGCCGCAAAATATCACACGAGAATAATCTCGTTTAATTTTGTGACTTGAAAATTATAAATGCGCGCGTCACCTGAAACGCACCGAGTAAAAAACTAAAAACTATTTTCATACAATCGATTTTCTAATATCATTACGTATGACAATTACGCGTCTCAGAAATTTATCGCGTGCATACCGATCGATTGCAAATATGATTCATCATTTATTCATTCATCATTCTGCCTTGGATAATGTTGCCGTGAAGACTATCTCGTAATATCGTATGCGAGAAACATATCGCGAGCCTATTACTCTGCCTCCTGTTTTAACATAAATATCGTGTTTTAATATATAAATAATCCCCACATGTTTCTTTACATTGTTCAAAACGCGTACAACGATGTTTTCCAATGTTGTAACAAAAGCTTAAAAAACAAACCGTTGAATTATAATTATCAGTAAAATTATTTGCGATAAAGGCAAGAATAAAATAAAAAATATCTCTTTGCCGTTTCGTATTCAGTTACAAATATGAAACGAGAGAAAAATGAAGAAGATTAAAAGAATAATTTAAGGAAGAAAAAATCACGGTATTACTGCTTTGTTATTTTTTAATAAGTTGTTTTAAAATCACATTTGCTATGTAAAAAAAAAAAAAAAAATGTAAAAAACCTATATCGAAATATATTTATTCTTTGTAAACTAGTTACCCACTGTATACGAATTTGCGGGGAAGTAAAACTTCGTGCTGAAACAAAGTTCAGCAGAATTCGTTGAACGTTAGTCTCGAGATGTAATATCGCGAAAAACAAATATAACACTTCAAAATCGCACGGCCTCTTAAGCACGATAGTGCACTTCACACGCTCGTCGACAGCGATGACTTGGCGATAAATAATAAGTGTAAGTGACGAAACGCGCGAGTAACGTTGCACGGAAAATTACATCAATATTCCCAGGCAGAGCGATTCGAGGGCGTGAAATTCTGTAGAACGATACACGCTTACGCACTTAATCCGGTGGACAGGCATTAATGATGTAATCGCGAAATTACGTGTCAAGGCTGAACGGAACAATACGCTTGAATTTAATCGGCTTCGCAAATAACAGAATTAAAAATAACAGAGCTGTGTAGCTTTTTGCACGACGGTAAAGCGTCGATAAACTTTGTCCGCATCTATAAAGGCGGTTTAATTGCGACGTTATTTGTCGAAGAGTAAAAGTTTCGTAGCGCCCGAAACTCCAAAGTGCAAATTCGTCTAGTTTCAACGGCAATTTAATTAGCAGCTTAAGCTAAAAGTTCGAAATTTAATATAAATGGTGGCTCGCCCATTTATTCCGCTTGCAACGTTATAAGTAAATGCAAAAGTTTGTTGAACTTTTAAGTTATTCCTCCCCAGAAGATCTTTAGCAAACTCTGTAAACTATTTATGTTTAACATCATTTTTACGGGCAATAATTTAATTAAATCAAAGTTTATAAATTTCACAGTAGGAGCGAATTGGATTACGTTTTGGGAAAATCCAATTCGCTTGATAGACTTGATTTATCGTCATTTATCGCGTCGCTTCTGCGGACATAAAACGTTTGCGAATCGCGAATACGTTGCGCGTATATAGCGCGTCTGATTTATTGGTCATATTTTGTATGTTCGCCGGAGTGCTCGCGCGCGACACGAACCGCTTCTCCGGGTTTAATCAAGGCTATTTCGTGCAATCGCGCAAGGTTACAGATTCGCTATACGTATGGTCAACTAGAAACGAAGATAATACGATTTGAGATAGAGCGAACGAGCGGAATTTAATAGTATATACTTTACTCGATACATCCTGATCCCGAATCAATGTTGCGTTTATTGACGCAATGTTTTATTGACGAACGTGTCTCGATCGTGATCGAGCGTTAAACTATGGCATTTCGAATATACGTGAGAAAACAAACAAAACACGTGAGTGTTTATACACGTGTACACGAATCATATCACAATACGGACTTATTATTACAGCCACGAGTGTAATAAGAGACGCAACTTATGGAAAGTTAAATATTGGTCGCTACGTCGCTACTAGAGACAAAAAAGATAATTTAATATATTTACAAAACCAAGAATATTATTTACATAAAGACCAGTTTGTTTGAACGAAGAATGCTCTGGTCTACTAGAGCATGAATTATTTATATCTACGATGTCACGATGCAAAAATACATTGAATTCCTGCATGGTTGAAATGGACAGGAAACGAAGAGGAAACGCGTAAAACGTATCTACATATAAAAATTTGTAAAATTGTTTACCGTTTTTATCGCGAGCAATCAGCATATAAAAATATTTATACATATAGTTAAGCTTATAATTTCTAAAGATACCGTCAAGCTCATATAAATTTAAAAACAAAATACGACAGATATTATACGCGTATTGTTCACATATTATTTATCCATCAGATGAATGGGAAAGCTTCTTTATTATTTCATCTTATTAAAAATTTTGAATATAATTTTCAATATTTAATATCAATAACCTTTTCTCTCTATTATGATTATAATTCCCGTATTTCATGTATTCTCGGCACTTATTTTGTTAGCACTGTTAAACTGATGTAAACTCTGTCGCAGAAGGATGACAGGGATATTTGATGCAAATATATATGTTATTAGATACAGATTTGTTTGAATGTAATAAAGAAAATAACACAGAAATATCCAATTAAACAGTCCCCCGATTTTAGTCGTGGGCGCGTGTCATAAATAACGTTAGCTGTGACATTCGTAACGAGTGATGACATTGATAACCGACAAAAACGCGGCGATATCGGTAATTATTTAATTGGGGTTAGATTAATTCTATTAGGCGATCAATGGGGCTATCTCCACGGCCGGTTTATCAAGGCAAGGCGAATAACTAGCCAACTAATAACTCATTCTTACGATCAATTATACCATAACACAGGAAGGAACATGGTGATTCGGCAATTACGAGAGATTAATTAACCAAGATTGTCAAACAAAGATCAAGAAGATCAATGTCCATTTCTACCAATGCAGATTAACTTTAACATCGGTTTAATTGATTTTTTTAAATTTTTTTTAAGAATTAAGGAAAAAGATAATAAGTTAAACAGAGATTAAAGTTAGTCTACAGTCTACATGGGTAGAAATAGACATAAAACCGTCGGATAAGAACACGAAGCGGTGATGTGTGAAGCAGCGTGTCGAATACAGTCGTTGACATGCGGATGTGTAATTTCGTCCAAGGCTGACGATGACTTTTCCTCCATCCTTCGCCCAATCTCCGAAGTCCACATCTCTCTCTCTCTCTTTCTCTCTCTTTCTATTGCGAATTTAAAACGGTGTTCATTTTTAAAGAAACTTTTCAGTATTTCTTCAACACACAAAGCTTCAGTATTATCCAAGATACATTAAAGATCGAAAAAGATGATTTTACAGGACGGCGTATCAAAGATTTTGACGCTGATTAATACAATTTCATCGTACAAATGGTTTATTTTCTTTTTCTTGTTCTATATTTCTGTATTTCAAATCAAGATTGCGAGGTAGACAGTGTTGTCGGGTGAGAGAGAGAAATCGAATTAAAATTTTAAATAAATTTCTTTAGATATTTCGATGACTCATTTATTATTCAGACTGACTCAGAGAATGTTCGACTTCTTCGTTCACGCCCCTTTCAACCAATATAGATTAACTTGAATCTCAGTTTAACTTATTTTTCATCCTTTTTTAGTTGTAAGAATTAGAAAAGGAAGAGAAGTAAGTTAAACCTCGAGATTAAAAAGTTAATCCGCATTGGTATAGAAATAAGCACCAACCATCTAAACATCCAACGATTATTTCACACATAGCTCGAACTACGCGGCAAACAATCTACTTAAAAAATACGTATTAAAACATTGGCCTTTTTCATCATTTTCAAGCGCATCTTCTCGCTCAATCTGGAGGAATTCGACCGGAAGAATCTGGCTTACGGCCATACGCTGGCGGATTGACATTCACCTAATTTGGCGGCCTCGTTACTCCACACGATTTCCCCGACTCCTCGAGCTCCACCTCCGCCGGAAGTATCCGTTTACCTGTACGCCTATCTCGCGCGCTCAGGACGCTCGAGGAATCCTGGCAACCGGAATCCCTTTGTCTCGCGACGACGATGTTGTTATGTATATTTATAATCCGGAGGCCGTTCACGCGACACTCACGCGATCGTCTCTCGTGATCGAGGAAACAACAACGAGGAAACAACACGACGTTCAGGAAACAAGTATAGTTCACTAGTGGATCTTCGGAGACTATCCCGCGCCGCTCGCGATGCAATTCGGTCGATTTTTATCCGCGCCGCTCCCGGCACGAGACACTCTCGCGAGTTTGCTTACGGAACGCTCGGCGCAAATGGAGATGGAGATTGCCGGCGCGGCGTGCCGCGTCAGCCACAGCACGTCGGCAGAAGGGAGACGGACGATCCGCCGCCCTCCCCCCCGTCCCGCCCTGTCCCTACCGTATCCCGCGGGGCGGATCACGCATAGCGACTAGTGGGAGTACTCACCGGGATGGGCGAGCGATTTAAACCGGGAGTCATCGACGTCCCCACGGAATCCTGCTCGTACCCTTTTCTCTCTCTCTTTCTCTTCTCCCTTTCGCTCCTTCCGCGTCTGTCTCTTCCACCCTTTTGACGTCTCGACTCGAGTCGGAATCGTGGACTGCCAATTTTTCCGCGCACCGAACGTCGACTGCTGTCTCGTGACGATCGCGACTCCGTTTTTCGCACGAGAACGACGCGCCGAACGCGGAACGATAACCGACACGAACAAACAAACCCACCCGGCACTCACCGACACCGACCCACCGCCGTCGTTTACTGTGCCGCCCAGGCCGCCCGCCGCCCTACCGCCGCGGCCGCGCGCGCGACTCTCACTTCACTCCGGTCGGGCTCGGCTCCCGCCCGAGCTGCTCCGATCTGCCGCGAAGTGGATGAGCGACTTCGGTAGATCGCAGGACCGGTTTTAGAACTCGTGGCACCCTCGATCTTTAGATATACAGGGTAGCCTTCGAATTTTCGCGATTTCAGTGAATTTAATGATATAGATTCCGGGCGATTTGTTAGGAACTTTCCACTGCAAAATAGGAAGTTAAGTTTTTAGATACGTCACGATTGTAAAGTATCTTTTGCAACAAACGGTGCTTTGCCTGCTTTGCCATTAAACTAAGCAAAATATGATTATTGGAAATTTGTTACAGTGCATTTTATATATACAGTATATAAAAATAATTATTTGTATATCTCTTATATTTGCGTGTAGGTATCTCTAATAAATGTATAATAAGAAAATTGAGAGTTTATTTCTTTCTTACATATAGTGCGTTTATAATCTGTCATATTTTTCATTTGCCTTATTTTAAAGTTTTAATTAAAAAATAAACTTATTTTTTGTTTCACCGAGCTATATTTATCTTCAACAAACTTTTAACTCTATTTCACCAGCTAAATATAATATTCATAAAGATAAATATTATATAATAATAAATAATAGTATTACAAACACGTGCTATTTTCGCTTCCTTCATCTTTTTTTAATGACAAGCACTTGGTCATTCCGTGTTTACAAAACGTTTCTTTTCGTCTTCGTATCGAGCGAATAAATTCAATGACAATAGAATTTGTAAAAAAAAAGTTAGCAGAAAAACCGGTTGAATCAACACGTATTATAAAGTTAGGAGTTAGGTACGAAAGACGGTAGAATACTAGAATGTAGAATACGGCCTTGCCGTAGCGAGAAAAACGCTCCATGAAGTTGGCCGCGAGACGGAGCACCGAGCGGCGAGCATCCGAAACCTAACCTCCGAAACACAGCCGTGAGACGCGATTTCGAGCGATTTTTAAGGCTTGACCCTTCCGCGGCGGAGCGCACGCGTGTGTCTGGGGTACGAGTGACAAATCAACGTGATATTCGACACGTGTGTTTCTGCACGTTCGAGCGTTAATCCTGAATCCGTTTTGGCAACTGGACGCGTGAATCGATTGTCGAATCGTTGGGCAAACAACCTAATCCGGCCTAGTTAGTTCGCATGTCTCACACATATCGCGAACAAGGGTGGAAATATAAATATAATTCTGGTGAGTTTCGATGCTGTATAGTCGCGCAAAAATGACGTTCGCTCAATATCGGAAACGAAAATCGGCGAAGTGCTTCCGGAAAAGTTGAATTCATTGAGAATTAGAAACCATATGAGACCATTAGAATCCACGAGTTGAGATTGCATCATATTTACTTTTAATACATTATATACTTTAATATATTAAACGTAATACAATATATATAATAGGAGAATGTATATTATTTTATTATATTTTATTATGTTCCTCTTTATATTATTTATTATACATGTTACAAATATATATTTATTATATTTATGTAATTCTGTAACATATACACTTAAAGGTGGAGCTACAGAGACAAGACTAATTGGATTTCTGACAATTAAACAATTTATCACCAATGTATCAGCAGCAATTATTTATCACACTTATTGATAAAAGGATAAGATTATGCCTTGCAGGTGCATTTTTATTTCAAAGATGACGTCTTCATTTCAAGAAATCAGAATTTTTTTGTATATTATTTATATCTATGATAAATACATAAATTTTTAATGCGTTTTATTTGTTTATTAGCACATGTGCTAAAAAGCTAAAAAATATTTTTTTTCCTTGAAAAATTGAAAACTTGCCATTCTTTTTCTAATATTAAAAAAGATATCTTCTATTTTTGTATTTTGCGCTCGTTTTTTATTACCATGCATATAAATATCTCAAGTGCAAATTATTTCGCGAATATTCGTGCGTGTTGAGGGAGCCCATGATTAAACTTGGATGAAAGACCTGTTTCGGTATAAATAACACTTGCTTGACTGCTTGTTTATAAAAAAGAAAAGTTGCCAGGGTACATCCACAAGGTGCAAGGCTTACGAGACTGATATTGAGAAGTCTATAAATAACAACGGATAAGCAAAATCAATACTATCCTCAGAATGAATCTAACATTATTCTATCTCCATCTTAAATTACAGTTATTTCTTTCTAAATGTAATATGAAATAAGTGTTTAAATAAATAAAATATGCGAGATACCTCGGTTAATATTACGACTAAGGCCCAAGCAATTTAAAGGCAGAGGACGCTTGCAGGGAAGATTGTGCACTTAAGCTCGCTCTCCACTGACGTAGAATGCCGAATGTCGTTTCGCAACCACTTGCCTCCTAATGACTCGACAAAGGGTATTTAATGCTCCGCGCAATTTTATTATTACTCCTGTGTCAGCATGTCGTCACGAGGTCTTTCATAGGTTACGAACAACATCAAAGTCTTATCAGTTTTACGTGGCAAACTCCGAGCATGATTTATTTCCTTAATATCCTGTATAAGAAATAAATATTGGAATGTTTATTTTTAATTTAATTTTGTTGAAACTCTTTTTTCATGTTTATTTAACTCCAATACAAACAGGTATGCAATTTTAAAGACGAAGTAAGTTATATATTAAAATATATATAGGTACTTACACGTGCCTATATTTTCCTATCTTCAATAAATATCTTGTAGTTTCATTTTACTTTATTGCCAACTTGGTTTTTATTTTTTTATTGTTTGGAATAATATATAAGCCTGAATGAAAGTGAGACAAGAATTAAAACAGGGATGTATACTTTTTAATAAGAAAATATTTACGCGCATAATTATAAGTTAAAAATTAATCCTAGTACCTTTAAAATCTACATTTTTTTATTTAATCGTTGAATACATACTAGCGTTTGACTAGTTTCATATATTTTTTGTTTATCTTCGGTTTTAATATTTATTTCTCTTTCTAAATGAAAAAAATACAAACGTATTTGTTGGAATATTAGAAAAATAGCTTAAAATTTAAAATAATTGATTTAAAATTTAAAAAAAGGTATTTCTACAAAGAACGCGTTCTATTTTGAATACGGTAATTTTAACAATACAAAAAAATATTGAGATATGTTAGATTTAAGATTAATAGTCTTTTAATTGGTATAGCCTATACTAGTGTTTATTTTTTGAGACTTTAGCATAGGTAAAAATAAAGTAAACGGCGCTTTTATAATTTTATACTATAAATACTAAGAACTCTTTGAACTCTTTTTTATCTTCCAGCTAAATAAATCCAGCGATATCCATGCATATGATCGAGTTTAAGTATGTTTAGTACATTCGTCGAGGGACGATAAAAAAAGAGAAAATATATGGAGAAAGTAATTGTGTGAAAATGAATGCTCGTCGTGTTCTAATGCGTTTCGCTTTCTAAATTTGCAAACCACGTAATGCAAATGGGCGATGATGATTTCCTGCGTGTAATACGATAATACATTAGTTTTTACAATGCTATAGTCTTGACGAATTTTTGATTTTAGAAGACATAGTACAGATACAAAAATAACTTCATAAATAGGAATAAAAAAATTGTAAAAAAGATAGTACATTTGAGCAGCGTTTAATTTTTTTTCTTAGAAAATATTATTTTTTCGCGAAATATTTCACAATATTAAAAATATAACAAATAGAATTATCCGTATTTGATGTTTCCACTTGATATTTTGCGCTCTAATTATAATATTGTACATAAAAGTAAATTATTACGATAACGTTTTAAAGAGCTGTTAAATTCTCACCATGCATGGATTACTTCGTCAAATAATAATTATTTACTATAATCGTGTGTGACAGAGTTCAACAAGGTAAACCATGGGATCTCTATTGGGACGTATGTGACGACGCATAACGCTTTTACTTTCCCGGACTTACTATATTCGAAAAGAAACTAATGGAATCATTGAAGAAGAGCGATTCCTCGGGGACCGAATCGAGAGATGAGAATGGAAAAGATAAATGTCACAGTGACGACGCTGACAATATACAGGATAAAATGAAGAAAGTGGAGGTGAAAACGTCTTCACCTACGAGTCTATTGGCCAAGAACACCTTAGTGTTACCTACTGGAGTCATCAAACCCAATCAAAACAAGCTAGTGAAAGCAAAAACCAAGACAATGCCATCGTCTGGGTCTGCTACCGGTAAGAACGTACATATTATGATTCCTCTAAGTGTCCTTTCAATTCATTGAAGTAAGAGTGATAATAGAGTAAACTCGGGTAAGATGGCCATACAGGAAAAATGGCCAACCCATGTTCATTCTATGTTTCATGGCGAGCTAGATTGAAAGAAGACATAGCCATCTTACCCGAGTTTACCCTATTATGAGTCATACTTTTTATTTCACATTTCGTGAGCCAAAAGAAATTGTATGAAAAAGAGCATGTAAAAAAATAAGAAAAAAATGTACAAAAAATGCGATTTTTTAAATCGTGACACTTTCTCATATAATTTTCGATAAAATTCTTCAAATATCAAAATACCTAAAATTTCAAAAGTATCTAAATATTTAGGTCATACCAAAATAATTCTGTACGAAAATTGGCATATAACACGAGGATTCCGTTTTTGTTCATTTTTATTCACGATTTATATCACCTTATCTGTGATAGTCTTAAGTGTTCTTAATCAGATAACACACTTGTTTAATCGATTAAATAATCGATAGCCTTTCCGTGTTACTGACGCGTCTGCGGTTGATCTTGATACGCGGAGAAGCGCGCTCCGACTGGCGAGAGATCCTGCGTGTTGAGCTGAGCGTCGTCCATCGCTACTATATTGATCTACCTGTCTCAGGGTTATATTCGGCCGCGTGTTTCAGCGCAGTACCCTCCGGTCCTTCACCACGAGATCACGGAAATCTAGTCTCTCGTTACTCGTCGCCGACGAGACCCGCGATCTGCATCGCATTTCCGTCCCAGTTTCAAAAAGCCATCGCAGTGACTATTGCTTCTCGATAATGTAGATGTTTTTGCCATTCTTTCTCGGACATGTCCTCGTATTAGGTGAACGATTCTGTATATCGTTAGTCGCGTGTCACTTCATCGCACACGAATCTTAAATAATTAAGGGTTTTCCTCATATCTTTATTATTAGTACGACGAATCGATGGTGACCTGAGCCAAGCAGCCTACTCTTATGTTATTCGGAACGACTTAACTAGACGAAAGAAGATCACTTGCTTCTTCATTAAAGTTCTAGTCAATCTAGCGTATTTTAACATAAATTTATGTTCTGCATAAGATATTCTCCAACGATTATTATTTTTTTCATTAATAGATTTTTTGACGAAAATTTGAGCCAACTTTTTGGGTCATGTGAGAGCTTGTGATAAAAAATCTCTTCAGTTCCAATTAAAAAAATTTTTTTTTAATTGTTATACGGCTTGTACTAAATTAAGTTCAAAATAAAAAAAAAATTCTACTAACAGATTCTACTTGATATTTATTTTAGAAACGAACGAAACCTTTTATAATGTGTAATGCTAATATTATACTTTTATTATAGCTTGGCTGGTGAAAAAACTAGGTTTATCAAAAGATACCTACTATGTTTATCAAAAGAGATCGATAAATGTGGAATATTTTGTGGATATACTATAATATATTGCACTAAACGAGAAGAAAAGAGAGAGAGGAAGAGAACGTAGTAAAAAATTATTTAAATACAGCATCATGTTATTATGAATTCATTAAACTAAAACGGAAAAGGATATATAAGATATTAGATATCAAACAGGTGTTGAATTATCGGCATATCGAATATTGGATTAAAAATGTTCAGTCGGTGGCAAACGAATATCTGCCTATCTGTGAAATCTATTTAAAGTTAAATTCACAAGATATTTCCGTCTCATGAATTAACTAGTTGTTTGTAATTAATGGTATGTACTTTAATTGATTTTAATTAGTTTTAACGGTAGTAACCATCAGTATATAAATTCGTCCAATATGTACATATTAGTATATATTTTCTCCATATATTATATCATTTACGTGCCGCATCATCGATATCACCTGTGACATTATTACGTCTCTAACGTTCGATACTAATAATACGTTTCGTCCGTTTCTTTGAAAGAAAAAAAAACTGAGCTCCTTGTTTACTTCACCTACTTTGTTTACTCCTTCGTCTTGTTTATCTCTTCATTGTTAAACGCGTTAAGAAAACTCAAGTTTCCCATGTTATCAAGGCAAAATCCGCAAATTGGCACCTTGTGAGAACTTTTGTTTCGCGTTTTACACGAAGACAATTGCAAAAATGATCGTGTCTCCGCGATTCCTGTTGTCCCGATGAAAAAATGCCACGATGTTGCGGCGCTTCTTTGGTTTCCGCCGCGGATCGCAATGGATCTCCGCAGAGCCTCGGTCTGCAGATCCAGGACGGTTAGTAATTAGTGTAATTGCCAATTAATCTATTTTCTCAATCGCGTTTGCGTGCACCCTGCACGCGTGCACGTGTTTATTGTAGATAAATGACGTCCTTATGCTCCCGAACTCCCGACCACTAATTTGTACGGTAATGCGTAGATCGAACGACGACGTCAACTTTCAAACGTTAAAAATGTTTTCGAATAACTTTGTTTCAACAACATAAAAAGGTAGTAATGTTCATCAGATAAAAAGATGTTAACTAAGAATTTATGAGATATAATTGAAATAGTAAAAGCGTTATAATTGATTATGGATAATTAATTATAAGTTAAATAATAAAATTAAATTATATGGAAATTAACTAATTAATAATTACATGTATAATTAATTAGTAAATTGCATAATATATATGTTGTATAATTCATTCATGAACTGTATAGTAGCCTAATAATTTTGGGATATGAATATGATATTGTTTCATCTATATATAGCCCCAAGTATCTAATGCAATTTAGAGAAAAAGATATAATGAAATAACATATAATAAATTTCTATCTTTGTTTTTTTTTTCACAGGAAACCCACGGAATAAGACAGCCTTAGCACCGGGGCATAGTTTGATGGATTGGATCCGTCTAGGTAATTCGGGAGCCGATTTAACTGGAGTCGGTGGTGTACCACAAGTCGTAACGTTATCCGAGCTTGCTAACCATAATAAGCAAACCGACGCTTGGATCGCAATCCGAGGTTTGTTTATTTCCGTACCTTATACCCACTAAAAAAAGACGACTCACTTTACCATCGACGACAACTTGCAAAATATTTAACATACCATTAGCAGTATATCGCTCATTTTTGTTATAACGTTATTTATATTAAATACTTTAATTATACATATAATAATCCAGAATATTAAATAGTTTTGTCAGATTATTAAATTATTCAATGATAAAAATTAATTTGCTAATGTAATTAATTTTTTGCCACTTATTGATTTATATCGACGAATTTGATATCACTCAGCTTGAATTCTAGTTTTCATAATTGGTTTCAATTACAGGGGTTGTATTCAACGTTACGCGTTACATGGATTTCCATCCAGGTGGAGTCGACGAATTGATGAGAGGTGTCGGGAAAGACGCCACGAAGTTATTCGATAACGTAAGATCTTCCACTTTCCCATCCTACATTTTATATCATTATATCATTTCGATAAGCGGTAATTCTTTTTATGTACCCGTAGATCGTTAATTCCAGGTGCACGCTTGGGTGAATTATCAGAGCATTCTGCAAAAATGCGTCGTAGGCAGATTAAGTCGCGGAACTTCCTCCACGTCGAGCACTTCCTCCATAACGGAAAAGTCGGTTACGGATGCGAACAACTGTTTGCCCGTAACGTTAGTTCGGAGCAAACATTCCACTGGTAAGTAGCCCATTGTAGCAGTTGCATCGTATTGTTTTCTAGGTCATTTATATTTAGAGAAGCATTACTGGAGTAATAAATCGTAGATAGTATTGGCTCATTATAGAAGTTTGTATTGTTCGTAAGCGACACGAACGAGATACTTTTCTGTAAATCGATGAATGTTAAAATTCTTCTCGAAGTATGATCATTCATGAACATTTATAAAATATTTTAAATTATTTCTTAATTAAGTAATGTCTCTGTTTAATGTGTACTGAATTTATTACTATCATATTTGTTAAATTAGTGATTTACAGATAAAATGTTAGATAGAGATAGTTATGATAAATCACAGAAATATCGAATTTTAGATGTAGGACAATGATCAGAGTAAACTTTTATTATTTCAGCACAAAAGACAGTTGATGAAAACTCGGCGGTTTCACCTAATGTGAATATAGATTGGCGGCAAACATCTAATTCTATTACACTCTTTTATCAAGGCATACGCGACTACCCAGGAATATATTATCAATTACAAAGGTTCAGTGACACGAAAATTATCTTCAGATTAACTTTTGAAAAGTACATTATTGTCCACGAGCTTGAATTAATCGCAGATGTGGAATGGCCGCCAATGTATAAAAGAGATTTCGATACAATGCAGGTAAATTATTTAATCAATTTATAAATGGTTACATACTTTTCAGCGCGCATTTCGTAAACTCAAGAAACGTATCTTGTATGTTGTAGGTAGACTTTACGTTTACGAAGAGGCTTAAAGATATTTGGAAATCTCAGGGAAATCATACATTATCGCGGGAATCAATCACAAACAAACGCACATACAAAGAGTACGAAGTACTCAGTAATACACCCCTTTGCAAACTAGTTAATTTGTTAGTTTTACGTGCCAAAGATTTTTTAGAACTAATTCCCGTCGGTAGACACATAGAAGTCAAAATGAATGTAATGGGTAAGCAGTAACATAGATATCTGTTTTCAAAAAATATGTTTTTATCGATATACAATATTTGTTTTTTAACTTTTTATTGGTAAAATGTGATTAAGTTTACATTTCACCAATAAATATTTTTACATTCGTAAAAATGTTTTTAAAAATATGCTGATATAATATTTTTATACGTTTTTCGCACAGGAATGGAAGTATCTAGGAAATATACGCCTGTCCCACCGTGCCTTCATCCCGAAGATATGGCGCCAAATTACAAGCCTGATTGCACTTGCTTGATGATAAAGCGATATCCAAATGGCGCACTTAGTCCGTCCATCACCAAATTACAACCTGGCCAAACTCTTACAATGAGCAATGGTTTAGGTGCCTTTGTAACTGAATCTTTCGATCGGTATCCTGTCATTCACATGCTGGCAGGTGGAACAGGTTTAACCGCGATGTTAGGAATAATTCAGCGAGCTTTAGCAAGGCGCAGTGTGTAAGTATTAATGCACTCCATTTCAGGACTCTCTTTTTATTTATAAACGGTTGTTAATATTGAAAAGACAGATAATATGAAATAAAAATCAAAAAGAAAAACATGATGTTAAGCATTAACAATAATATAGGATAGTTTGACTAATATATTACATTATTTATTTCTGTTTATCTTTAATTGATTTAAAATCTTTTTCAGAAAATTAATCAATCTTCTAAATTTCAATAAGGATGAAGACAATATGTTTTACGTGGCGCAGCTTGACAAAGTAGCTGCAGAGAAGAAGTAAGTACACGCGCACATGGAAATACATATATATGATTTAAAGTTTAACAGAGAGAAACTAATGTTTAAAATAATATGTGATTATTATAAAAATTTATATATGTAAAGAAATGGATGAAATGTTAGCGGACGATATATGATATTGATACATGTTACATAATGATATCATATGTCAAAAATTATGTCCATCATGAATCGAAATATTGTATAGAATACGAAATATCGTATATCTATTAAAATAAAAAGAGATTTTACCTGAAAGCCTACTAATATCTTGTATTTATTTGTCAGGTTCAAAGTTACACATATCCTTTCGCAAGCAGGTGATAAATGGGAGGGTAGACGCGGTACTGTATCCGACAAATTATTGAAAGAATTGATTGGCGAGTGTTCATCAGAGGGATGTATATTTACGTGTGGACCAAAAGGATTTATGTTATCTGCGAAAAAGTACGTGACATTTTTTACTTATTAAACATATATTTTTTTTTATAATTTAGTAAGTGGTAAATGTGATTATTTTTTATCATAAAAAGATAAAGATTAAATAATTGATATGAGGACCCTCGAAATTCGAATGATGAGAAGTCAGGGCAGTAGGATCAGACGCAGGTCATTGTGCGTGTGAAATCAGTAGTAGATTTATTAATCTGTCTTTAATCTGTAGATTTTTCTGTAGAAATTAATCTGTAGATGTATTGAAGAGGATTAATAAATCTACTACTGATTTCACGCACAATGACCTGCGTCTGACCCTACTGCCCTGACTTCTCATCATTAAGCTAAAGATTATTCTGATTTAATTGTCAATTTCAGCACTTTGCTGTCTCTTGATTATTTAGATGTCATTTTGTTTCAGGTGTATTCAGACACTTGGTTGGGAACCTCACCAAATATATGATTTCGACGACTAATCGTCTGCGCTGAAAGTATATACGTGCCATATATATACATACATATATATACATACATATATATATATATATATATTTATATATGTATATATATATTTTTTCTTTCCTTTCAGAGAGTCTTTCTAGAGAGCCTAATAAGATATGAAACTCGTACCTGTCAAACCACGTTTAGTTAAATATTAGTACAGATGTTCTGTGACATCTATGTGAACTGTCATTGATGTGTCTATCGTCAAGGCGATATTTTTCTGAAATTATGAAGATTTTTAAGCACTTTTACTCCCATCTCCGCCCATAATGATACATTCTTAGCTGCGATAAATTGTAATACTGTACGTAAAGTAGATACTTGCATGTAATTTTGCAATCAGGTAATATAGCAACTAGAAAAAAGAGGCGAACTTGTTGCGTGATTTAGAATTTAGATAGAAAAACAACGTATGCCTCACAACATATGAAAGATTCTACATGATTCTATTGAAAACATTCTATTGAAAATGTTCATGTTTCAGAGGAAATATCCATTTTAAAAATCTGTCTTTTCATACGGATGTAACAGTAAAGCTATATAATTTTACATATAATTTCAATTTTATATAGTTTACTAGAGTCATTCAGCATAATATACATATTTTTTCTGTGAGAATTTGAAGCGCGCATAGTAAATAATGCACAATTAAATAAACGGGAAAAAACACATAATAAAAGTGAGTAATCTAGCATAGACGGTTCCTTGATTATGATTGTAGACTGCATATTTTGTAGGATCAATGTGATATTTTTAATTAATATCATGAATTTGTTCGTTAGGTTCATATGTTGTTAATGCGTGTTGTTAACGCCCTATTTTTATGTAAATAAATTAAGATCATATAATTGTTCTCTGAGGAAAGATGGCATAAGATACTGTGCATTTATACATTTAGATATGTATACCGATAATTGAAAATAAATGCATATAGAATGACTGAAAACTGTTGAAGTATATTGTATTTTTATATTGAAATATAATGACAGCATGTCATTTTAAAACGTGTTGTTACATTAATTAACGAAAAAGTTTATCAAAAAATGAAGATTAATCCGCCAATGATAATTTAAAACAGGATTAACGAAAAAGTTTATTTTTTGAGGGATAATTTTTTTTTACGAAAATCAATTGCGATTAATTCTAATCTACTAACTCTTGACATTAAATAATTTTTAACGATTAATGACCAATTAAACCGGTAGTCACCAATTAAATGACCAACTAAATTTTACATTTTCGAAATTCAACTTTGTGCCTTGACATCATTTTTATCTCCATTTCGCACGTAGGAGATATGTACACGTCTTCTTTTTATTCTTGACGTAGATGCTTTTATCTTTGTACAGTTGAAAAACTTTGTGATGCGACTAAATTTCTCATTTCTTCCTTCCTCTCGAAGCACGTCCGAGAGCGAAAATCGTGAAAATAAACCGCGCGCTTTTGCCTTCGCTAAATTTCTTAGACTGAAAAACTGCCGGGTGAATCTCTGGAGTGCATCGTAGATAGCGGAGGATGTAAATTCTCACCTTCAATCTCTCCGAGACGCTCCGCCACCCCCAATAATGTACACGGGTATATTTATCTGGGCAACCCGGAGGAAGAAGGCGAGAGAGCGTAATAACGTCCCGCCCGTTCCCCCTTACCCCCCCCCCCTCGCCCCTGACGAGCGAGGGGTTTTCACAAAAGGGCCCCGTCGACCGTTCGACCGATAAGGGAACTTTCCATAATGCAAAACTTTGCGGCCGGCTTAATTTTCCGGCGCCGTGTACAGAAGTGTCTATTGATCGCGGTAAGTTCCTCCCCCGCGATATGACGTAACGACATCGCGCAGGCAGGCGGCAGGATGAATGTCTTTTGGCCCGCGTCGTCGACGCGAAGAAAATTATGTCACGGGAACCGCTCGCGCGACCTTCTCGACCACTCCGCGTCCCTCTCAACAAGCTGGCCGCGCAAAATCGCGTGAAGAGCTCGCCGGCAGCGTTTTCGCATTCGCAAGATTGCAACAGCAGCAGTAGCTCTTTCGAGAGTTTAATCAGCTCGTACACGCGAGAGGATACTTGAGCGCGTTTGCAATCGGTGTTCGTCTCTACTATATTTCGTTAAAGACGATATCGATAATTTACGATAAGCATTTAATTATTTAATATATTTAATTGCTATGGTATAGTTCTGCGTGATCTCTTAGCGTCTGACCTTTCAGTGGTATCTTTGGTCGCTGGTGACCGAGGCTATCGAAATTTTTAACCGCTTATAAAAGAGAGAAACTATATTGTTTAATATAAATTTTTAACTTTAATGGGGATGAAGTGGGGCTAGGCCTTGGGCTAGGCTGACTGGGGCATACCCCCTCCCCTCAAACCGTGATTTTATTATAATTATCAATCAGGATACCGGAGAAGCTACAGTCCCATTTAAGTATCGCTATCACTGAGTGAGCGTAATCTTGTATAATAAAAAGTCGACAAAGAATTGTAAAATATAAAAATATTTTCTAGGCTCTAGAGAGAGAGTTTATCCATTTCTGAGCCTATCCATTTCAAAGCAATAGATTATATCAATATATTAGTTCATTTGTAATATACATAGATACTTTTACATTCTTAATCTTTAATGTTTTAATTTTTCGTTTTTTCTACAATAACTGTAGGAATAAATAATATATTTTTAAGATGTTTTTTGCATGAGATTAAGTAATACAGAACTTTACCGCTATACATTAATTATCATTCTAGATACAAATTTTGATATAATGTCTAATAATTGTTAAAAAAAAACTGTTCGTGATTCTTTTATAATATATCTCATTTCTCATATATATATTTTATTTACGTTTGTAATATAATTTTACAAATCCATTGCCTTGACATTGAAATAAAAAAATAACTCACCGGCCGATGCGCAACAGCGGAGTTGTAACGCTACGTTGATCTGTAACACAAAAATATTTTCACATTAAAGTAGTGTCCAAGATAATGAATACTTCAGGTAATTTAAATAATTATATCGCGCCCGTTACATTTTTAAAACGTTATTTTAACAGAAATGCTAATGCAAGAAACAATCGCGGTCACGTCGCAAAAGCGGCCGCATTAACTTGTTCGCAAAATTAATCCGCGAAAAATTGTGCAATATAATATTACGACCGTGCGAGTAAGAGAGCTAGACGTTCGCTATGTAATATCTCTTCTCGTATATGTCGGAGATCGAATTCCGAAATTACGATGCGTCGGCGTTAAACCGGATTAAACCTCGAACGAGTAATGAGTATATTTACGTAATAAACGAATCAAGTCGCGCTTGAAAAAATGCCCCAATCCGCCACAGGACAGCAAAATATAATAAAAGAATAATCCAAGAGACACGGCAGTGTCTCGCACCAAGCACACGCGAAGAGAGACCGCACTGTGACTCTTTTACGCGAACGCACGAGTTGCGAGTACCCTAGATTTTGAGATCTTATTAATAACGAGTGATAATTACTCACCCCACGGTTGCCCCGCTGTCGCCCGATGCCACCCAAGCCTCGTCCTCCTCTCCTCGATTGGTTCTCCTCCTCCGTTGGTCCATGTCACATTTCAGCGAATATCAGCGATATTGTCGCTTACTTAATGATACGCGCGACACTTTCGACACTTTGCACGGCACTCTCAGTATTAATCTCGATCGCGACGCGGCGCGTACTTTGTTACACGGCGACGAAAGAATTACGGCGGAAAAGCTGCGAACGAAACTATACACTATACGATCCACTTGACGTTCGCGACGCTCGACGTCCCGCCGATCTCGCAGCCATCGCAGGTAGACGTTAACATGGCGGAAAGAATTTCGATCGTAATTCACGCGGCCAACTTCACTCGCCACTCTCGCCAGGAGCAACCGTCGCGAGGATGCTATACACTTGTTGCTTGTGAGCAGGCGATTTTGGTCAACTCCAATAATCATCCATTTATGAACACTGTAGCTATCGTCAGATATCAAAATTCGAAGTAAAACCTACGACGTTAATAGAGACTGTGATCTGTGATCGCTGATGATTAAGCACGTCGCGCCGTTACTGGAACACGACGCGAGTTAAGTTGACGGTTGAGAAAAACGAAACCGATTATCCGAAAGAATATATAATCAAAAGTCAATGTTACCGAATGCGATATACCTCGTCGGTATCCGTATAAATTCCGCGAAGCACATATATGTATTAAATGAACATTCGATATACCACAGTTTTTCGCAATCTCAACTGCCACGCCAAACCCGCGGGGACCCGGCGATTCATATGTTACTCCGCGATGCGATTCGAGAGCAATGACGTCAGAGTGGGGAGCGGGTCGCGAGCGCCGCGGTATTCGGTAAACATGAGTGGTTGAGTGGGGGGAGGGTAGAGTGGGGGTAGGCTGATACGCATACCGAAGGCGCGCCGTGCCTAGTCACCTTACCTCCCGTACTCATGTCACCGCGACGCTCGTGACCCGGTCTGTTCTAACATCGTTGCTCTCCGATCGCAAAATAATACACGAATCGCCGGCTCCGACTGTTTAGATTACGAGAAACTGTGATATATCGAATGATTAGCTAATACATGTGCTTCGCGGAATTTATATACGAATACCGACGACACCGACGTATATCGCATTCGGTAATATTGATTTTCGATTAAATTTTTTCGAATGATCGGTCTCACTTTTTTCAACTTGACTCAGAATGAAATTGCCGTTTTCGGAACACGGATAAAAGGAATCGAGCGAAATCGAGCGACGCCGCGACGTGTTTATAATTAGCGAGCACAGTTTCTTAACGTCGTACGTTTAACTTTGTTTAAATTGTTTAAAAAGGCCGGTCCTACAATCAGTCGTACATCGGAGTCGGATGTTGGAACGCAGCCGATGGTCCAATGGGAGAATTTCTTTTTCGAAAACGAATTTCTCTCATTGGACCATCGGCTGCGTTCCGACATCCGTCTCCTACATGCGACTAAGAACCGGCCCTAATATCGTTTTTGATATTTGACGATATGAAGTTAGCCGCGCGATTTACGAAATTCTCTCCGCCATGTTAGCGTTCACCTGCGGACTGCGGGATGCGGGCCGACGCACGGGCGTCAAGTGGATCGTATAGTTTCTTTCCGTAGCTTCTTGTCGCCGTGTGACAAAGTACGCGCCGCGTCGCCAGATTAATATCGGGAGTGCCGTGTAAAAGTGTCGAATGTGTCGCGCGATCACAAGCGACGAGCGACGATATCGTCGATTTTTCACGCGTGAACGTCACCATCGTGAGTGAGTGCACCGACGGAGATGCGACAACGAAGGGAGGACCGAGGAGAGGAGGAGGAGGCCTGGGAGGCATCGGGCGACAGCGGGGCAATCGTGGGGTGAGTGATTATTATTCGGTTATAATTTTGCCGTCCTGTCAGTCCTGTGGCGGATTCAGGCGGATTCCGTCACTTTCTCAAGCGCGACTTGATTCGCCTATTAAGTATGCGATACTCGTTACTTACTCGTTAGAGGTTCAACTCCTTCGCCGGAGATGCCGGAGTTCGATCTCCAACGTATGCGAGAAGATTGTACGTCGCGAATGTCGCGTCTCTCTTTTATTCGCACGGTCGTAATATTACTTGCATGATTTTTCGCGGATTAATTATTCGAACGATTATTAATGCGGAAATATGCAGCTGCATGTTTGGCCGCGGCGCGATTGTTTCTTGTATTGGCATTTTAAAATTATATAAACTATTAAAACGATGTTTTAACGTGCGCGATATATAATTATTTACTTGAAGTATTAATTATCTTGGACACTGCTTTAATGTGAGAATATTTGTATGTTACAGATCAACGCAGGATTACGACTCCGCTGTTGCGCATCGGCCGGTGAGTAATTTTTTTATTTCGACGTCGAGGCAATGGATTTGTAAAATTATATTACAAACGTAAACAAAATGTATGTATG